ATTGATATTGTGGCACATGTGCAGCAGTGGACCACGCTTAATTTGAATACGAGAGCACCGTTTAAAATGGAGTCGAAAAGTGCTAGGTTTCTAAAAAACAATGAATAGAGCATAATATATAGGCTACTGCAAAATTTAATATGGTCGCAGAGGAACACAACCGGGGGTTGCCTGATATGAAGAGACGTAATCCCCGAAACAGAGCTTCACACTTGCGCAATACGGAAATATCTGCTAATTGTGTTACTTATCTTTGTCAACCTGGCAACCATATATGTACGCACTCTCTCTCCACTGTGGATAAACGCACTTGCTTTCTGAAAACACCGGTTAGCTTGCAGTTTAGCGATCTCCACTTCAATATTCTTTTATCAGAAAAGTGTGATTTATCAAGTGTTTATTTACACGAGAGAGAGAGAGCGAGAGGCTGTGTATGGATGAATTACCACCGTTTTGCCACGTTTCTCTATTAACAGTGAAGCCGTGGCTTTAATTCCTTTAGTAACGATGATGTTACCAGCTCCTTGTTGAGAAAGATAATGTAGCTCTTGAGTGATTAAGCTATTTTATTGATAAAATTGCGGGGCAGTGCTAAAAAGTTTGTGTGCGCGCGTGTGCAACGGGATCTGTGTGAGTGAATAAAATCGTGTGAGCGTGAGATACAGTGAGGACAGCGCATTAGTTTAAAACTCTTCTAATTTTTATTTAAATTTTTTTAAATGTAGAAATTGTGTTAATTTGTGCAATGATAACCTACCAGCAATGTAAAGATGATTTTTTAAATATATTAGTATGAGTACATTACAATATAAATTTATTAGAACGAGTACATTATTATTTATGGGCTTAAAAACAAGATGCAAACAATCCGAATATTGTACCTGGTGGGGAGTGCCCAATGTAAACATGAAACATATGCCATTACGTATATTGTACTGTGGTACAGTTATGGAGGCCCTTCATATGCAGAGGTCAGCTGCCTGCTCTGCCAATAGTTAGAAATGGCACTATAGTATGCAGTGTTTAATAAACAGCCGTTTTACTAAATTCTGCTTTGGTGAAATTCAGTGCATTCCTGTATCGTGATATGTATCGTACAGTGGCCTCTGTATCGTGATACGTATCATATCGTGACTTTGCTGGTGATAGATAGATACATACAATTTTATTTAGGTCACTTAAACTAGTTAGAACTGAGAGTTTACAATTTTTTGTCAGGATTCTGTCACCAAACTATGAACATGACTGACTAAAATATCTGGATCCTAAAAATATCCGATGATCATGTTCTTAATTTGGAGACAGAATCCTGAAACCTTTTGACAGGCAGAAATTCTGTTGTTTATACAACGTTTTTGCCATATCACATACAATATACACAGAGATAGTTTTTTCCATATTGTAGTATGATTTATTATCCCACCATTAATTTGCGACATGTAAAAACAAAACAAACTGTGGGCACATGCTACCATTTAAAACTATTTTTTAAAATAACGTTAAGTTTTGACAGATACTAAAACCGTTATAATGATACAAAAGATTTCTGTTTATTCGAGAATCCTGAAAAAAAAGTTAATAACACAAATGCCCAATCATTAAAATATTAGCAGCACAAATGTTTTCAACATTATTCTTAATAATAAATGTTTCTTGAGCAGAAAATCATCATATTAGAATTATTTCTGAGGGATCATGTGACAGAGAAGAGTAATGATGCTTAAAATTGAGTTTTGTATCACAGGAATAAATTACATATATTAAAATAGAAAATAATTATTTTAAATTATAATAATATTTCACACTATTACTGTGTTTACTGGGTTTTTAATCATATAAATGCAGCCTTGGTGAGCATAAGAGACTACTTTCAAAAACATTACAAATATTACCGACCCTAAATTTGAATGCTAGTGTTGGTTAGACAGTCTCTTCTAGTCTAAACTGGGAATTGAGGACCAGACTTTATGCTGTTAGTTAAACATTTGCCTAGGCAAGACTGTTTTACACCAGCATTCCCAGCCTCTCTTTCTGTAAACTATATATGGCCGAGCCCAGGGACTTTGACTAACTGTGTAAACACCACACCCAATCACTTTCACTCCTTTCTTTTCAACTTGTTCACTCGGACACGTTTAAGCTGTAAATGGTGAAGCATTAAAGAGAGACCTGTGAGAGATGGTATGAGGGTTTGAGAAAGAGAGGCACGTCGTGGTTGTAGCAAGAAAATTCTATCTGAATGAGTGTGTTTGACGATCATGTGTGCGTCTAGATGTCTGTTTGGTGAGTCAGTGTGTTTGGCGCAGAGAGGTCAAGAAAACTCTGAAGAGCTCTGACCGACATAAATCAAGTCACCTCAGTCAGCTTGTGCTTTAACTCACTTCTCTATCCATTATAATGCATTGATAGAATACATACTGTACGTGTTATGTTGTGCAGGCATGCACATGTGTGTTTGTGCACACCAGAAGGTACTTCGAAACTGTCAAACTGACGAAACTAACAGACGACAAGCTAATTATAATATATCTTAGTTAAGTCAAGCTGCCCTTTTGAAAGAGTAGCTAGCTATAAAAACTATATTGTATTAATTTAATATCAGTATAAATATTCACTACAGTTCAAAATATTTGTTTTAATTATTTTTAAAGAAATTCATATTTTTATTTAGCAAGGGTGCATTAAATTGATCAAAAGTGACAGTAAAGACATTTATAATGTTACAGAAATTTTATATAAATGTTGTTCTTTTGAACTTTCCAGTCATCAAAGAATCCATTATCAAAGAATAAATGCAGCCTTGGTAACATAAGAAACTTCTTTCAAACATTAAAAAAATATTACAGACAGATCTATCAGATTAACTTTGCTATTACAGCATTTCCTTACATATAACTTTTGGTGACAGGAATTGAACTTAATTATATAACCTAATTTAACCTAACTCAATTATAATACAATAAATTCAACTGATAAAATTTGAAAAATACACTCATTTAAATAACCAAAGTTGAAAGCATAGCGATGAAAAGGAGTGTTCGGCTAAAAATTTTGCTTCAAATAAAAAATATTCAGCGGTTAAAATGAATCAGCATATTATTTACTTCAGTCACTAAATCATTATTTACTATGATTCACTATGAATAGACTAATTCACTGAAATGAATCAGACTTCCCAGCTTTACAGAATTCAATGCTAGACTGTTTATGGTTATGTTATTGGAAAAAAACGTTAATAAGTTTTAACATTTAGCTAGTTTTAGCTCGTTTTGTTCCAGTCATTTAGAGAGATGCACATGCAAAATTAAAGGGATGCAAAGCTTGAGTGTTTGGCCAGTCTGCTAATAGATTTCCATTTATCATACAACTAGAGAGCGAGTGAGAGTTGTTTCGGTGGAAAGTATGACCGTCTTCTCTTCTCGTGTGACTATTTCTGCCACTTTCATCACTCTTAATACCAGAACAAGCTTTTAGAAGTATGAGGACACGAAAGTATGAGCGGAAAAAGGAAAAAGACAGGAATTATTGAATAAGACATATTTTCCCTTATGTGTAATATCTGAATGAATCGGTTAGTTGAAGGTAATGGGGAAAGAGGTAGTCAGAGTGAAATGAGAGTGTATGAGTGTGTTTGTTAATATAAACCGTAGTTGGACTGTAGCCTTGGTCTTGGTGTCAACTGCATAAATGATCATAAATGTATCACTGATCCCAGCCAAAGAGTACCTAATCAGGATAAACATTTTGATATCGGGCCTACTGTAGTTCACATGAATGTTTTAAATTAAAAGGAAAGTAGTACACTAGTGTGTACGACTAAAATTGTGTTTATTAGGTGTTTAAATGGCCACATGAACCACCCTGATGTCTAGACATGGGGAAATCAACTTTACAGTTGTACTTTTAACAAGAATTCATTTTATGATGTCCATTGATATTTCCATTTATATTCAAGTAAGGTTATGTTTTATTATTTACCCATTAGATACAAGCACAAAGCTGAAACAAAGATGCTAAAAGGCATTATTAATGGCATAAATAACAGATGTTTTAGTTATATTGTGTATTCTAGTGTATTTTAGTATATTCTGTATTCTGTTTTAATTACTCAAATGATATAATTTGGAATGACATGCATTTGATTTACCTCTACAAACATTTTTTATTTTTGTTTTGGCTAATGTTTTGGTTGCATTGTGTCTCTCTGCAATTAAAAAAAGTGTATTTATTTTCGCCACACAAGTATATCAGCCCTAACAGATAAACTATTATCAACTTTTTTCAGATAAATCGACCCAGAAAGTTATAAGTTTTGCATTCTGAAATAAATGTGCTTAAAGGGATAGTTCACCCAAAAATGAAAATTCTGTCATTAATTACTCACCCTCATGTCGTTCCAAACCCGTAAGACCTCCATTCATCTTCGGAACACAAATTAAGATGTTTGTGATGAATTCTGAGAGCTCTCTGACCCTCCCATAGACAGCAATGTAATTAACACAATCAACGTCCAAAAGCGTAGCAAGGACATCGGTAAAATAATCCATGTGACATCGGATACTGGATACTCTCCAAAATGGCACCAGGGTGACGTGGAGGAGACGAATTGTTGAATAAAGTCATTGTTTTCAGCCACACACGCAGCCTAAGCGCTCTGTCTCTCACTCTTTCTCCTCCTCTCTGAGAATGGTCCACCCGGTGCCTGAGGCTCTGCTGTCGCGGCCTGCCGCCCGTGTCTGATCTCTCACACACATACGCGCGCTCAATACTAATCATGATGTGAGAGGTAGGAACTGCTTTTCTGTACTGTCTCTCCTGTCAGTCTGTCTTTTGCAGTTCTAACAGCATTGCACCACTTTTGCATGCTTTGTATGTGTGGGATTGGGGGTTGTTCAGTGTGTGTGGGCTGTTTTTGACTTTATAGGGTGCCTTTGTGGTGAACTGCACTTTATGTCTAGGCGATCGCAAACAGTACGGCACAACGGGGGGGGGGAATCTCAGCTGCATTCGAAAAAGTTGCACGGCTGTGTGTGCGTTTGGCAGGAAACTCCCCCCAACCCTGTGCGACCGGCTACTTGTTTAGACAGTGGCGAGCGTGCGATTGGTTAACTGTTGAACCTGAGAGCACTTCTCCTTTTTGAAACCCCCCTCTCGGGTCTCACTTCCCTTCTGTTTGTATTATGCACGTACCAGCGTGTGCAGGGATTTTTTTTTCTTCTCTCTTTTTTTTCTCTCTTATGACAGAGCCGCGCTCTCCACTCCCCCTGCATGTAAATTACGTGTGACATGTTTAACTGCTGTTTCCTAATATGGCTCGTGCTAGATTTCAGAGCGATAGGACCCAGTCAGGCACCCTGGGACTGCACAGGGGCGTGTGTGCGAGAGCGTAACTGTCTGCGAGAGGGAAAAGAGAGGGGAGAGAGATGTTGACGCAGGTTTTCACTTCTGTCTGAGTGCGTCACTCTTCTGTGCAGTCATGTAAGTAAATGCTGAACACGCTCTCACTGCAGAGAGAAACATATGGATTGGAGCTCTCACAGGTCTGCTCGTCAGCTGCACTGAAACAGAAACATGTAAGGAAGGATTGCTTAAGAACAGGTTATGCTGACTTTTAGTGCACTTGCGCGGGTTATTGTTTCACCATGCTGCAGAGTATTTAGAAACGAACGCCGTCGCTGAGAAGTCAATGCTGATTGGTGGCGTATGATTAAAGCAATTGTTTCAGTTGTTTGAAGATACCATTTTTTGTAGGGGTGGGGGGGGAAGAAAAATAAATAAACGTTCTGTCAGGGTGGTCTGGCGCCAAGTCTTTGCGTTTTGACGGTGGTGTGCTGTAGTTGAGAAAGTGAAAGTGTTGCGAAAATAAGCACATGCAAGCACACTTCACTATATTTTGCATCCGATTCTGTTTAGACTAGCTCTAAATTGCTGAATTTTCCATTAGCGATGTAAACTGTGAATTATCATGGATTGTATAGTTGATCTAAAAAGATTCTTGTAAATTAATTGTTGGTTTAATCCCATATGCTAGCTGTTAAACAACTGTTGAGATGATAAATGTGTTGCACCTATGTTAGGTATCGTAATAGCACATCTGGTTGTTCATCATCTCCTCGCGAACACGTCTTATCCTCCATTTTTGTCGTCTTCGCATTTTATTTGGGGTGTTTTTGCATGCAAATGTGCCTGTTGTCTTTAATGCCACTAATAAAAATATGTCTGATGGCGGCCGCATGTTGGACGTGTCAAGATTTGTTTGTGCATTCAACAACTAGAGGGCGTCGTTACAAAAAATTACTTATTGTTTTGATAAATTCCTAACTCTTATCAAACTGAATTGCTAACCGTTATCATTTGAATAGGTAATAAATGGTATGTTAAAAAAATCATTAACATTTGACCTCTCCGATTCACGCAGCTTTGTAGAACGTTTAGAGCTGTGAATGTTTCTGAGTTACTGGGTAGAAGGGCTTTTGCTTGAAGCTTTGTTCTGTGTAACCATGGCGATGATACTATTTTCAACCCTTTCCAACATGGCAATCATCACCTACACACATCTGAGTCAAACGATGGAAGGCTGTGGTTTAGATAACCATCTCCGCTGCCCGCACACCTTTCTGATCAAGCACTCCACCCAGATTCAGAAGAATCTCAAGAGACACCTTAAAGGGATAGTTCACCCAAAAATGAAAATCCTGTTATCATTTACTCTCACTCATGTCATTCCAAACCTGAGTTTCTTTCTTCTGCTGAGCACAAAAAATATATTTTGAAGAATGTGGGTAACCAAAAAGTTAGCCATTGACTTCCATAATATGGGGAAAAAAAATACTATGGAAGTCAATGGCTACCGTCAACTACTTGGTTACCCACATTCTTCAAAATGTAATTATAAGGTTATGGTTTTAAGGATTTTTCTGAAATAAATTGGCAGATTTGTTCATGAAAGTTTAGTGCTATGGTTTGATCATAAAAATAATGGTGATGTGCGTCATATAACCTTCATTTTTGGGTTCTTACAAGGTTGGATTATAAGGTTCTTGGGTTGCTATATGGTTCGTGCTATAAGGTGCTTTAGAGATTTGAAAAAGTTGAAGATCAGCAGATTGGGTTCTTTCAAGCAACAAAAGCTTTAGCCTATATATGATGTAAAACAAACTGCATAAAGTTATTTTTGGAACTTATAAAAGTTCTATGACATCATACTGTAAATATACTTCTTGGTTAGTTTTGCAGTTCTGTATCCTTCTATTTATAAAAGTGTTGTTAATGACACACTTTTGCAGCCTTAAATGGTAACAATTTCCCATTATGCTTAGGATGTAGCTAGTTTGTTTACAGATGTGATTTAAAATCTCCATCAAACACTGCTTTTTTAATATTAATACTCTGCATATTTGAAGTGTCAAAGCTCTATGCAGGGAGAGTTTGTTTTCTGTTTCCTAGACACAGACTAAACTCAGACTGATTTTAACCTTTCATTATAATTCCTCCATTTAAAAAGCTGGTCTTTAATATTGCACGGCTGTTGAATTACAAACAGAGCCACAGGAAATCAAATGTTCAATCAAGCATTTCTCACTGGCAGGAGCATATTAGAGATCAGTACAGATGTAAATAAAGCCATAAGCCAAAGTGCAAAAGCATTGAAACACTTAATATCTCTTTCATGTGAATCATTGAAATAGTTTCCATTTCTGAAAAGAGAACATAACATCCAGTTCTCCTCCCAGTGGCAAAAATATTTGACTTTTTAATGGGCTTTGATTGGCACACTTCCAAATCATTCTCTCTCTCCCTCGCTATCGGTCTTATTTTCTCTCCTTGTTTGACCTTGCAGCAACTTCTAAGAATTGTTATTCCACTGCAAAGGATTGTGGGAGATATACGTGACATAATAGCCAAATCATTTAACTAAAAAAAGGGGACCAAAGAAACAGCATTGTTATGTTCAAGTGAAGACGAGGATCTTAAAGTAGAATCCAAGTCTGAGCATGAATTTACTTTAATTGTCACAGTGATTATTCCTCTTCTCAGTAAACACGGATAATGCAGGCATGAGCCTGTTTAATGCGAGATCAGAATCATGCTGCAAGGCTCATGGATTCACATTATCCAGAGCGATCACTTTCTTTTCATTTCACAAAATAATTTAGGCTTTTTGGAGTATTCAGCGTCCCCAGGAATCCAGTCTTATCGGATTAAAATATGTCATTCCATAAACAGGGCTGTGCTTTGTGTGTGTATATGTGTGTACATCTGTGTCTTTTAAATAGGGCTGAACGATTTTGGAAAATAAGTTAATTGCGATTTTTTTTTACCAATATTGTGATTGCAATTTAATATGCAATTATTTTTTAAAGCTCTTTATGTTCTATATTATTCAACAAAGACAAGCAATAAATCATTGTATAGTATGACCAACACAATGTTAGATAGATTAAACATAAATGTTCTTTTCGGTAGGCCAGGCCTATATGTTACGATGAAATTAGGTGATGCATGCATCGACCGATATGTGTTTTTTGGGACTGATGCCGATACCGATTATTACAGACCAAGTAGACCATTAACCGGTATTTTGAACCGATATATACTGTATGTCTGGTGTATAAATGAAAATGAATGTCAAAATTAAGAATAACAAGGGCTCTGACAAAAACTGCCTTCCCTGGTGTTGGTTGCACTTCTTACTCTTGTCTTCTTCCATGCATCCATCTACAATAAGAATAATATAAAGAGAGAGTTAAAAGTGGGGCCACTGTATGCTTCATGATTAAGCCTATGAATACTGTACTACAGCTAAACAGCTTGGGGAAGTGTAAGTATTTGGCTTTAATAATTTACATGTTAGAAATGTATGTGTAATAGCATAACCTCTCATAATTCTTCATTAATTATTTTCTGATGACTAAATCATAACCTACAAGAGGTGACTATTCAATTCATCATCTAATGCACATCAATTGATTAACTTCAAAAAGCACAATGTATATAATAAGTGTAAATAATTTTATTGTCTTCATAGCTCCATTGTAGAAGTTGTTAAGACCGCAACTATTTTAATGAAATTATAACACTAATAGCCTATTTTAGGCAAACTTGGTTCAAAAGCATATTGAAATGTCTCAATTTTTGTCATCCCAATCTTATCCTACGTGACAGTATCTTAATCTTGGCCTATGTGACAGTAATTTCTAGGGCTTTGTATCACCAGCAAAGTCACGATACGATGTGACTCTCAACAAATCAGATGAGCGGTGGGCGGAGATTGCGCTAGGCCACAGAGTGGTGAGTTCCGACAGGCTGCATCAGAGCCAAATAGCGTGTTTCAAAATTAAATTATTTTATCGGCAAATCGGTTTTGAAAATGATCGATACCGATAATCATAAAAATGCTTAATATCAGCGCTGATAATCGGTCAACCCCTACATCAAAGTATCGCGAGAGCTATAAGAGAGCAGACGTCTCCTTACACCATGTCTACACCGGACGTGACAGTTGTCGTGTCGCGCCGCAACATCTAAAGTCTGTCTACACTGGACGTGACAAAGCGACCGCTGAAAATCATTTCAAATTTGTGTCAGTACGTCATAAATAGAATGCAGCAGCAGTTTACTGTCTGGGATTTGTCACGCCGCACCGCATCCAGTGTAGACACGTAGGCTTTCTCTTGCCGTACTTTGATTTCATATACACTGATCGATCTTCAAGTCGAACACACCTCTTTACTTTCACGTGTCACGTGACAGTGTAATCGCAGCCTCTGCGGTTGAAAAATCTAATTTTTTCATATTGCGATATTATCGTAAATATAATTAATCATTCAGCCCTACTTTTAAAGCTCTTTGTGTGTACACATGCGTGTGTTTTTCTTTTATAGTGTACTTCCCGATAACTTCAGATAGTTTTCTGTCCCATATCTTCACGATAACCATATTTCTGCTTAAGAACCAAGTTTGTTTGTTTGTTTGTTTTTAACATTTATTGTAAACTATTGAGTTATAATGATATATTTAATTGTATTTATTTATTTATTTTTTATATATTATAAATAAATACATGTTTAAAAATAATCTAATAAATAGAATAATAAATATTTATATTTCATTGAATTTATTATTTGTTTTAACATGTATATATTATTTATTTATTTGAAACTATTTAAATTATTAGAATAAATTATTGAATTAAATAGTGAATAGTTATTAGAAACTATTTAATTCTAATTATATTTTTGATTTTATTATTTATTTATTTTAATATAGTTTTATAAATATATTAAATATTTAATATATATATATTCTTAATTATAAATATTTGTAATTCTGTAATATATTCTAAATAAAAAAACTATAAAATAAATATAATTATATTTGATTTATTATTGGTTTTAGCATGTATTTATTTATTTATATATATAATTATATTATATAATTTATGAAAAATACTAATTTAAAAAAACATAATTTTTACATTTTCTGTATATAGTTAGTGTTGCTCGCACATGCAGACCTTGTTGCCAAGAAGTTCAGTCTGGTTTTTAGCAGTTTGTAGTGGATGGTTACTAGGGTATTTTGGTTACTTTTTATGGTGGTTTCTTACTGTCCCAATTCAAAAGAGGCCGCTTTCAAGTCTCAGTCATATTCTGGTCTCTAGATATGTCTCATTGTGTAAGAAACTTTGTCATTGCTGTCAATTTCTTTTCTTTTTTAAGTGTAACTGGTTGCTAATACCAAGTTAGCACAGTTTTAATAGCACAGTTTTAATAACAATAACTGGAGTAACTATGTCATATAAGTTATGGTGATTTTTTTTTGTAAAGGTGTTTTCTCTCACCCCCTCTCAAACTGGGCTGCTGCTCTTAACTGGCATGTAGCCGAGAACATTGCTTCATCTCTTCCTATGATTGGCTCACCGCGAGTCGTGCAATACTTCAGAGAAACAGGAAATTACCTCGCCGTTCACTTTCCACCTTCTCAGTCTCTGTTAAACTATACGTCACAGCTCTTAGCTTCAGCTGTGATGTGCTATTTGGGTTGGTTTTGCTCAACCTGGACTGAAACTTCAGATTGTGAAGGGCTGCATTGTGTGTGTTTGTTTATGTAAGAAAGAGCCCAGTGTGTGTGTCAGTGAGGTGTGTGTTAGGCCAGGAATGTGTGTGACAGTGTTTTATTTGCTCGGATCGACGGTATTCTACAGACTTCAGTGCATTTCTGGCATTTTTAGGAGTGTGAAGGATTTATTCAGCTGGTCAGAGTCTAATAGAGAATGAGTGAGAAACAGAGCGAGGGCGAGTGACATAGAGAGATAAAGTGGAGGATGGGCTGCGTTCCAATTCTACTCATGCTGTCTGGCCTAAATAGTATGCAAGTACAATTCCAGTGAATTGCGCATTTTCTGTATGCATGGAGTACTTGGATAATCTACTTTATTTGCCAAAATATGCAGTATGCAGTATAATGTGCATTGAATATTGAGTCTCATATTGTGATGTACCCAATTTAATCAGTTTTTACATGAAACTGGATCCAAAATGGAAAATGTTTATTTCTGAGAGGATAACCACTAGACATTGCTAGCTGAAGTAAACAGATGTCATGTGATAGCCTCATGACGAGTATGTGGCATGATATAGTTTGAACTGCTTATTGTTGTAGAATGCATTCCATTCCACATGCTATTTTAAAAGAAATATTAAGAATTATACAATATATGGATGATTCTTCAGTTAGGGGAACTTTTCTGTCCCATAAGATGATTAAAAAATTATTTTTTTTTGCTTTTTTCATTGTTTTAAATTTAATTTTGCCATAATTTCAGTACCCAGACTTTTTAATCTTAAATTTATCAAAGATTTAAAACCAGGAAAATTCTTCTTTGCGCCTTTTCCTAAATTCATTAGATATGTATTTGTATTTATATGTTTAATGTGTAACTTTATTAGGTGGTTTATTTTATATTTTTTAGAGATAGTAATATTAAAAACTTGAGTCAATCAATTATTTAATTAATTAAAATAACTATATATATATGTATATACTGTATACAGTAGTCAACATTTGAAGTGGATCAAAAAAGTTCATCAAAGTTGTCCTAAGACAAGAACACATTTTGGTTTTAGTTTTTAGGACAACTTTGATCCACTTCAAATGTTGACTAGTGCATACATTCACACACACATACTCACTCTCTCTCTATACAAACTGTCTGCAAGGTAAATGTTTGTGTTTGCAAGTCCAACTGTTGTCCAAAATGCTATTTTCTTTTTTATTTCAGGTAGTCAAAAACACCTCTAATTCAGTTCTGTTCAGTTTTTGTGAAGAGTTAAAGGTGCTGTGAAAGGATCTAATCACAGACTCGTTTGCTGAAGAGTCCTTTAGGAAGGTCTTTCTAAGCTGTTCTGTGGTTTTGTGTGTTTCAGGTGGGTACTGAGTATCGTGCCCTCTCTTGCGTCTGCCGCTGCTTGGATCTGCTTATAGTACCAGCCTCAGCTTTCCTGCCTGCTTGCTGCCCACATCAATGAAAGGACTGCCCGCACAACCCCACAATCCCTGTGACCCCAAACGACCCCTACACAAACACACAGAGCTGAAGTGGGCACTATTGAATCAGCCAATCAGATTAAAGGATTTTTGCTTTGGGATCCATTACTGCAGGTCTCTCTTTTTTTTTTAGCAGCAACATTTTTTTGTCCTTTTTGCTTTGGCCTGGTGTGCATCCACAAGGAAAGAGGAGCTTAATGATCTAAGAAGGAGAGGAACATTCTTAAAAGGACAAACACAAGCACACCCAAAGCACTTTGGGATATTAAGGAATTGAAGTTTTCTTGCCGCTAAAGCGTGTTGAGATGGCGATGAACATGGCTTACATGCGGGACACGAAATGGCTGACGCTGGAGGTGTGTCGGGAGTTTCAGCGTGGAACGTGCACTCGCTCCGATGCTGAGTGCAAGTTTGCACATCCCGCCAAGAGCTGCCAGGTGGAGAACGGGAGAGTCATCGCGTGCTTTGACTCACTGAAGGTAAGAAACACCTCAAACTTTGACACCTCAGCCATTTGCAGGTATTTCAGGTATCTAGATGTATGCCAACAAAATGTAGTTTCAATTTCTGGCGGAAATCTGTCTGTCTGATCCTTCTTAATGTCCACTTTTGGTCACATGATTCTATTTATTATTATTATTCGTTTTTTATTTTTTATTTTTTGTATTTATTATATTTGTATTATGTGTATATATATATATATATATATATATATATATATATAAATTATATATATTTTCTATTTTATTATTTTTTTTAATCTCTGTATTTTATATTTAATTTATTTAATTTTATTTAATTTTTCTTAATTTTATTGGTTGCTCTTATTTTATTTTTGATCATTTTTGACACATTCTTTTTACATGTATTATTTTCTATTTATATACTTTTTACATTTTATTTCTGACCTTTTATTATTATTTTAGTTTTAATATTTTATTATTGTTTAGATTTTTTATTTTATATATATATATATATATATATATATATATTTTTTTTTTTATTTTTTTTTTTTTATACCATTTTTGACATTCTTTTTATGACCATGGTTGAGAAAGGACAGAAAAGGCAGAGCAGGAAGAGAAGCAAAAATGAAAGATGTTGCTCACATCAAATCATGTGCGCCAACTACTAGGCCATAACAATTTTTGGTTTTAAGAAATGTTTCCCTTTAATGCAAATATTCAGATTTATTCATTCATTAATTATAGATTGTTTACCAGGTTTTACTAGTTTACTCATTTTACTAGTCAAATAGCACTTTTATGAGCATGAAAATAAGCAAGATTAGTTTCCCTATTATCTGGCTGTATAAATGGCTCAATGTTTTACCTCTGAATGACACAGCACAGGCTTTAGCCGTAAATTCCTTCTTCCTACTTTGGATGTTAACATGAGCATTCCACACACTATATAAAAATGTAAATCAACTTCACTGTAAAGCGCAGGGACTTTTATATGTGAATATCTTTTACAAGCGTAGTAGTCTAGACCACAGTACTTATGGGAGGACCATGGCAACACACAAGCATTGTTGTCATCATAGGCGTAGCTTGATGTTTGAGTTTGGGGGGGCCAAACCGAACCGGTGGATTTGGTCAGACGTACTTTTAAACACATTTTAGTTTTGCTATAGTAAATCTACATATTCACATTCACATAGAGCAGTGGCAAGTGTGAGGTTGTCATGGTAACCGCATGCATTGCCCACGAATTACAGCTGCGCTTCTATTTCGCCGCAATAAACACGTTTAAAATGCACAATAAACATGTCTGTCAAAACGATCTCAAAGGAGGCTTTTATTAAGCAAATCAAGGAGTGAATTACTCATCCACTGTTTTTAAAACAGACATTTGTTGAGCTTGATTCAAGTTAATGCACAATGAGGCGCACACTTTTTATTTAGTCTTATTGAATAGACGATAAACAGTTTATATTCTAAAATCTATTTAAAGGTTGTGTTCTGTGAAAATTAAATAACATTTGGATGTAAATGGTCGGCATAAAAGTAGTGTGCGGCTAAACTGGCTGCGTCCTGTGGATCACCTTTATCTGATTGTCTGGGTCCGGAATCATTAAGCACGGCATTAATATCTTCATCTGAGTTTTTCGTTGTCACCAGATTTCTCTACAGTTCGTGTATGTTGTTAAAAACGCGGAACATCATTTTATTCCACACAACAGGCAAGCATTACCGTTAAGTCTATTATCCACCAAAATGCAGATTCATCACATGACAATTCTTACGCAAATGAGATTGAGGGAGACGTTAAGTTTGTTTTGATTTATTAATTTACTTACAATAACAATTTAAAATGTATTAACTTTTACGTATTCACTTTTACATGTATTATTAACTGCATTATATGCATTTTTACTTCATAGAAAAAACGTTATAAATAAATATTTAGTACAATTCTTAAATAGCTATGCTACGGCCCCCCTGGACCCCCCACAAGCTATGCCCATGGTTGTCATGATTGTTATCGAAACTGATGATCATTGTCACAAAAAGAACAAGCCTTGGGCTTCACATGATAGGAATCCTAAATGTTTTGCTTAGAGAAGTTCCTGCGAACTCTCAAAGTTGCAAAACATTTCGACAATGTTCAAATCCAGGTCTCTCACAGAAGAAGACTAAACATGAACTGATTATTCTGTGATTTGCTGCCTTGTAATAATAACACACTGAATCTCTGATGTTTGGACAAAGCAGGCTGAGGTCTCGGCTCTTTTCTGCGGTTTTGGTTCAGTTCCTCATTTGGTCGAGTCAAAGATACACTCAGTACAGCTTACGCACTCTGAAACCACCCAGAACCTGACCCGAAGGTTTTGGTGATTTGGCATTCACGATAATGCTTTTCATTTAATGTTGATAATTATATAGCTATATTGTTTTTTTTAAACCCTTCGACTATTCAGCAAAAAGCCACTGGTAATAATACAAATCCCAAAAATATGAGAACATATACAGAGAGAGGCCGCTCGCAGAAACTAATGCGTGTGTTTCTGTCATTCCCGTTTCCCGTCCTGAGGTCTGAACGGAGTATTTGCTCTCTTCAGATCCAAATCCTTCGTTTTGAACAGCCTTATACCAGCCAGTAACTCCACAGAGATCTGATCCTCCTCCATGAGCCCTCTGCTTCTCCCTCTAATAACACCAAAAATCACATCCATCAGTGTGGACCCCAAGACTGGCCCTCTCAGAAAGTCTGAGTCAACAAAGACAGAGAGGTCTGTAATGCCTAGCAGAAGAAACTAGGTGTTCTCGCAACTTCCTGCTATTTGGATACATGAATTATTTGGTGTTTATAGAGGGGAAAACACTATTGTGTTATGACAAGATATTTTAATCGATGGACAATTGTTAATTTATTAATTAACAATTAATAAATTAATTTCACACGAAAGTTCTGACAAAAATTAAACACAGCTAATGTGAGTTTTATAAGTGTTGCTATTTTATTTAATTATTAGCATTAAATATAATTAAGTAATTAACATTTTGTATTTTATAAGTTTATCATCATATTTTATATCCAATAAAACAAGCATCTTAAAACATTACTCATATAACTTATAACTTATTTAAAAGAAACACATTTAAAATAAATAAAAATTATGTATAAAATAAATTATAAAAAGTGTATATATATATATATATATATATATTAAATTGATTTCTTTTAAATACATTTTTAATATTTTTTTCTGAAGAAAATGTGAGCTGGACATTTCTGCAGTTGCTAAGTTATGTACAACATTTTTAGAGTGTTGTTAAGGTGTGCTGGGTGGTTGCTAGGGTATTGCTTGTTGGTTGCTAGGTTGTTATGGATGTTTTCCCACCTCTAGTTGTCTGTTATTGTGTTTGTGATGTCTGTCTTTCATCTATGGGTTTTTCCCCTTTTTTATCTTCCATCAAAGAGTTTTTTAGCACACATTTCCTCATTAATCCACATAATCTGATGTAGCATTCATGTTCGTAGAGCAAATGAAATGAGTTTTGCAAACCATCTAACCCAACATATGAGCAATAATAAGAGTGATTTGTCTTAGCAAGCATGTCTAAAAGGTTTTTCCAGTTTACGCCTTATGCTTTGATAAATTAATTATGGCCTATGTCACATCTGTCCAGAATGAGCTTCTGTGAATTTCCACTAATCCATTACTCCGGTTCATGTCGTCCAGTGTTTGGCTTAGTGTGGAGCTACTAAATTATTCATATAAGTAAATATATTTAAATATTAAAAATACCACATGTGCTGAATTATTAAAATGTTTAAATTTGCTGAAATATTTAAAACATCAGTTATGAGTTTATTAGGTGTTCATTTGTATCACCAGGACTTTGCAAACAACTCCACGTAGTGAGTGAGTGAGTGAGTGTGTGTGTGTGTGTGTGCATGACCACTTCCTTCCAGAGCAGTAGGGAATGCCACTTTGTAATTTTCCATCTATTTTTACACGGCAGGAGAAAAGCAAATACACACACACACACACACACTGGCAGGGGGGTTCAAGCTAAATCTCAGGTCTGCTGGGAAATCTTGGCAATGTTTCAGGTGTTCCCCTCCACAGACACACACTCACTCATTCACACATACATACACACACACACATTTGTTTATATTGGACACATGCAGAAGTCGAGACCCTTTCAAAAAATATACAGCATTTACAAAAACACACTATAGGTTTTTAGACATTACCATGAAAATAATACCATGTATTTTTTTTATCACACATTCGTTCTTTTTTTTCTTTTTTTTCAAATGGTATGTAAATACGACAGTAAATGAATATGGGAGTAATACCAAACCATAGTAGATATTAATTTTTATATTATATTATATTATGTATTAGACATTACTGTTCAAAATTTGGGGGTCAGTAAGATTTTTAAAATGTTTTTAACAGAAGTCTTTTATGCACACCGAGGCTGCATTTATCATCAAAAATACATTCATTTTGTGAAATATGATTACAATTTTAATGAAGTGTTTTCTGTTTTAATATATTTTGAAATCTAATTTCTTCCTGTGATGACAAATCTGATTTTTATGAAAACTTCTGTATAATATTTGTGTGGAAACCATGATACATTGTTTCAGGATTCTTTGATAACTATAAAGTTCAAAAGAACAGCATTTTTGTTTTTCAATCGAAACCTTTTGTAACATTATAAATGTCGTCGCTTTTGCTTTTGATCAGTTTACTGCTTTCTTGCTGAATAAAAGTATTAATTTCCAAAAAAAAAAAAAATCATACTGATCCCAAGCATTTGAATAGCATTGTGTTTACTTAATTATCTTATATTTATCTTGTATTTTCTTGTAATGTATTATACAATAATGTTATATTATATTATAGCTATATATAATATTTTATTTATTCTATAAAATATATCACGTATATTTTATATCACCGTAATAGTGTACATAATGATTTTGTCTGTAAATTTAATGAAAAAAAAAAGGT